GCCTAACCGGGCCCCCTCTCGGGGCGGGGCCTGCCAGCTCAGATGGCCGGTCTGACCAGTTTGCCAGCACCAGTCCTGCTTCCGATGGGTGACAGCTCTGGCATGACGGGCGGTTACGCGCGTGGCTGCAGAGCTGCCTCTCCCGGGACGTGGCTGATGCAGGCGTGCGTGTTCCTTTGAAGCACTACGGATATTCGTAGCATTACTGGTATAGCAGTGCCGAGCCAGCAGCCGGAACACACTGGGAGCAAGAGGAAGAGGATCTTCCCAGGCTCTCCTCTGATCCCGTGTGCTTGGAGGCTGCCTGTTACATCCCACCCTCGGGCTGACGCTCCGTAGCCAGGTGAAGGGAAGTCTCCCCCGAGCAGGCTCTTGACTAGCCCCAGTTGGCCTTGCGCGTACCCGTGGTGCGGAGGGCGTCCTCCCCCGGCAGGGCTGTAGTGCCGGCTGTTTGACCTTTGCCTGGCCCCCGTGGCCCGGCAAGTGCCACTTTGGCTAATCATCAGCGATAATTGTCCCCTTGGGCTAACTGCCTGTCCTGTAAAGCTGCCCCGTGTGACGGAGGGGTGAGGTGTGTGTACCGGAGTAGAGGAAGTGATTCCTTCCCAGGAATCCGGGTACCTGGCTGGCTCAGTGCTCGCGGATGCCTCTGAAATGAGAGCGGCGATAAGATCTGTGTTGTGAGGAAGGGTTTTCTGTCGCTCCATGGGCTCCTTTCCTGTTCTTGGGACCTGATTGCGGCGTCCTGTGCTCTAGGCGTGGTTCTGGATGAGGCTGTTCAATCTGAGGTGTGAATGGTATGAAAATAGAGGATGAGTGGCAGCAGGGGGTGATTCCCAAGTCTGTGACGGTGCCAGGCAGTAGCTGGAGTGCCAGTCCAAATCTGCTGTGTCTCAGGAGCTGCTCTGGGTGATGTGACCTCAGCCCAAGCGCTGCCTTCCAGGTTTCAGAGCCCACTGTCCCTGGCCTCCTGCCACCCCCTCTGAGTTGACGTCTCTCCGAGCTGCGTGACTTGCCTGACTTCGGTTTCCTTTTCCTCCACTAGTGCTGGTGGCACGCGAGTGCCTCGTCTGCCAAGAAGCCAACTCGCTGTTTGAAGAGCTTTCCAGGGACACAGGCTTCGTTTGTGTCTGTAACAACCCTTCAGCGTGAGCGGGTGCCAGGGGCCTCCAGAATTAAACTTGTTCCAGGCGTCATGCAAGGATCTGCGCTAGTGCCTGTGTCCTCACGGAAAGAACAATAATAGCTCCACATACGGTAGGCTCCCACAAGTGCCACCTCCCTCGATCTCCTCCAATGCAGGCTCAGGCATGGACTCCACCTTGTCCCCGTGAAGAGACCCTGCATGCTGTCAGCAGCCAGAAGGGGATTCTGCTGCCAGCTTCTTCGCAAGCTGCCCCACAGCAGGACTTGCTCAGCGGCGCCTTGGGAGGATATCCATTCATGCAGTTGTGTCGCTGCAGCGCCCGCTGCACGCCCATGGAGGAACCTATGCGCGTGTTCCGTCCTCTTTGAGCTCCTCAGCCCACACGGTCGGAACTCACCTGGGCTCCTGGCAGACTGTTTGCTTGTTTTCCCAACTGCTCTCCCTGATCCTGTTGCATTCCCTCTCTCGCAGAGCCCAAAAAGGATGTGAACTTTGGAATGGGGTCTGTGAGCAGGCTGTGGACTCAGTGCATGTGTGAGACTGTTGCTGAATAACAGGAGGACTGGGCAATCGCTGCGGGCAGCCTTTCTGTCTGGCTGCAGGGCACCAGCCTTGCCTGGGCCCTTCACCATGTTCCTCCTGCTCCCCTTTGACAGCCTGGTGGTTAATCTCTTGGGCATTTCCATAACCGTGCTTTTCACTCTGCTTCTGGTTTTCATCATTGTGCCAGCAATTTTTGGAGTCTCCTTTGGCATCCGCAAGGTTTACATGAAAACATTATTAAAGATTTTTCAGGTAAGTCATGTTTTCAGAATTTTCTGTGAGTTCACAGGGGTCTTGTCAAGCGTGGTTGTGCTAGGGAGAGAGGCTTTTGCCCCTCAGCAGAGCCTTGCAGATGACTGGGCTGGGAGGTTGGTTTGTTGGTGACGTGTGCTGGTGCCAGATGTCCCTCTCAGCCAAATGCAGTTTACTGGACCTCTGTTCATGGGCTGTTTTCTCCCTGTAATTAATCCAGTAAGTCTTCGAGTAAAGTAGTAGGACAGCGTGGCCTGTAAGTATGCAGTGGTACAGGCGGATCTGTAGATGTGCTGAGAGAAGCTGTGTGCTTGGATGGGTTAATGTCCCAGGCGAGACAGAGGACTGTTACAGTTTGACATGGAAAGAAGCCAAAAGGGGTGTAGGGTGTGATGGGGAGGGACAAGGCCGCGATCAGTGGGCTGCTCCTCTCCAGCACACGTTTGGATGAAGCAAAAGCAGGAGGTAAGGCAGGACTTTCTGTACTGCAAGCCCCGAGTGGTCTGTGGCCAGAACCCAGAGCTCTCAACACCCTTCTGTCCCCGAGTGCCACCTGCTTATCTGCTGAGCCGTGTCTGGACCTGCAGCCTCTGAGGACGACCGGCAGCCCTTACTGACTCTTTTGGCACAGAGATGCCAAGTGGAATTTTCCAACTTGGGGTCACGCTGTTCCCTTGCCTGCCTTTGGCAGACTCATTTTATGGGCTGTCTCACAGCCAACACCTCTCCTTGAAGCAAGTCCCCGGTGAGACCAGAATTTTTGCCAAACTCCTAGTAGATAAAGCCTAGCCACCCTACCCTGGCAGCCCGAGCAAAAGGAGAAGGGGTGCCCTGTGCTTGATAGCGAGGTTTTAGGCTCTTAGATGTGGAGTTCAAGCTGCTAAAGGATGTATGGTACAGCAGCTGCTGTTTGAACAGGACTGGTCTTCCCCAGGGGTATCTCTGTACTGGCTGGCTTGGGAGGGCAGCCCTGGAGCTTGTAATGTTCAGCGCAGCTAAACTCCTCCCAAAAGCCTGAGGTGTGAATGGGACCCTGGGCTTTGTGAGGTGGTGCCTCGTTAACACGGATGTCTGAAGACCTGACTTCAAATGTAGGGACTGAACTGGGAGAAAAAATTGATAAGAAGTTTGGTTTAGCTGAAATAGAACTTTTCACCTTGTTTGGTTTTTTTTCTTTCTTCAATTCAGGAGCGTTTAATCTCAACACGTATTTTGGTGTTCAAGTTTGAAAGTATTTTTCTGAAAAGGCTTTGAAGTCTGTTTCAAAGTGGTGAGAGAGAGGAGCACTCTGGCAGAACTGCTCACAGATTTGGCAGAAAGTTCACTCGCTAGCTTTGGTCATTCAGAATTGTATTTTCGGGGAGCGTTCTTCACCCGACAGGTTTTCCCAGCTCTAGAGGCCAGTGTTGCAAACCTAGCCCAGGGGCCTGGGGTGGCGGCTGCACACCTCTGCTGGTGGTGAGGGAGACCTGCCTGGTGCTTCCCGGGGGGGCCTGCGTTTTCTGCGACCGCAGTCAGGATAGAGACGTGCTGGGCTTGCAAGGAACGCCTGCTCAGTAGGCTGCCCAGCTCCTGCTGGGTCAGAGCTCCTCTTCTGACTTCTCCTGGGATGGCAGTGTCTAGACAATCTTCTGCAATCCTGCAGTTCCTTTTGCTGGCAGAGGAGGCTGCTGGATGACCCGGACACTCCACAAGCAATTAGCATTCCCACATTGCTGCCTCCTCATCTGATGTTGGCATGGGCTGAGACCGGGATGCCGGGAGTTGCCAGCAGCTTCCCCTTCTTCACAGATCTCTGCTGGAGCAGCTGGCCTGGAGCAATAAGTGTGCTGTAGACAAGTCCTCCTTTAGAAGGTTGTTCTCCTAACAAGCATGTGAGGGGGAGAGGGTTACTTGGGAGGGCCAGAAATCCAGCCTGCAGTTTTTGCTGGTGCCCTTGAGAATTAGCTGAGAGAGATTTCTGTGGATAACAGGTAGTCTGGGCATGGGATTTGGCAGCCAGCTGCCAGATTGCTGTCTCAGGGTGCTTGCTGCTGCTGTTTTGGACTGACTGGTGAGCTGAGAAGCAGCAGCAGCTGTTAGCTGGGTAGGGGAGGGAAGGATCCCATCCCGGCATCAGCCCGATGTTTTTAGCAGCAGCCTGAAAACACAGTCTCTGCTTTGAGCTTGGAAGAAATGAGGGTTGAAAAATAGCACCAGTCCCGTGATCGGCTTTTTGTGCTGTGGGACCACCCCAGCAGGATGCACGGTCCACCCAGAGGCTGTGCGGTGGCAACCACGTGCCAGTGCGACAGAGCCTACAGGGCACGGAGGCTGCAGAAAATCTTGCTGTGCCGTCTCACCACTGAGCACTCTTCTTCCCTCTGGCATTCCCTGCTTCCCGCTGGGGCTCTGCTGTGCAGAATGGCACACAAACGTGTGCACATCATGGCTGTCTTATGCCTGTGCTAGTCACCTCCCCGGCAGTCTTCTTGTCCTATGGCAAGCGGATCTCTGCTATAAAAACGTTCCTCCCAGGCCAGTCTCTGCTTCCATCTCAGGTCAGTTGTGTTCATCGCTCTTTCAGTTCTGTGCAGAAGCCTCCTGCTTTAGCCCCATCTTCTCCCCTTAACCGTGGTCTTCCCTGGAAGTCGACTGTAAAACAGGGGTAGTACGAAGTGGAGCTACAGGCCTTGCGAATCTTGCTTATCGTGTGTGTCTCTTGCAGTGGGCAACACTGAGAATAGAGCGTGGTGCCAAGGAGAAGAACCATCCCTTATACAAGCCCTATGCCAATGGTAAGATCCTGCCCTGCATGGGTACATATGAAGTTCAAAATTCTTTATGGGAGATGGGGTAAATGTGGTGTCTCTGAGCAGCTGAGGTATGCTGGGAAGCCTTTTTCCATGTGGGTGCGTTGGAGGGAGATACGGAGAGGTCCATTTTGTGAGGAACACACCCAGGGAGTGCTTCATTTCCAGCCTGTCTGGACTGGAGAAAGGAGGGGGGCCCTGTGGAGGGCAGGCGAGTAAGGGCCCTGGTTCTCAGCTCTCGTTGAGCCGGCAAGTCGTCCTTTGCTCAGAGCTGCCTGCTGCGCGTTGCAGGTATCATTGCAAAGGAGCCAACATCACTGGAAGAGGAGATCAAGGAGATCCGCCGGAGTGGCAGTGGCAAAGCCCTGGACACCCCTGAGTTTGAGCTCTCAGATATCTTCTATTTCTGCCGCAAAGGCATCGAGACCATCATGGATGATGAAGTGACCAAGAGGTTCTCAGCTGAAGAGCTGGAGTCCTGGAACCTGCTCAGCAGGACCAACTACAACTTCCACTATATCAGCCTGCGCCTCACCGTACTCTGGGGACTGGGTGTGCTCATCCGCTACTGCTTCCTTCTGCCCCTCAGGTGAGTGCTGCTGCGGGAACCTGCCTGCCGAGATGGTGCTGGTGGCCTCTTCCCTCTGCAGCAAGTGCCACCGGTCTCCAAGCCCCCCGGACCCTGTCCAACATGATCCAACAAGACAGGTTACTTGATGAGTAGGGCCTGTGGCCTGGTTTTGCTAGCATGTAGCTTCCCTCTTTCTGCAGGATAGCCCTGGCGTTTACTGGCATCAGCTTGTTGGTGACTGGTACTACAGTGGTGGGATATTTACCAAATGGCAGGTGAGTTCATCTTTGGGGGAAGAGGGGATGGGGAGCCCCCTGTGCAGTTTGAGACCTGGTAATCCTGAAGTTCTCCTGCAAGGCCTATCTGTTCTGCCTGCTGCGGACAAGGCAGGTGGTCCTGGCATCTGTAGCCTCTCAGGAGCAGACACCCTGTAATTTTAAACAAAGGGCTTAGATGTGAGCACTAAGCCTGTGGCATAGCGCTCAGCCCTGGGCTCTGAAAGGAATAAGAACAGAAAAGAGCAAAGGCCAAAGTTTGGTTCTCCTGAGTTAAGAATCAGTGGTCATAAGCTGACGGCAAAACCCGGGAGAAGACGTGTTTCTGTGGGAGAGATGTGAAGTCTCGGTTGGATCTCATGGCCGGGGGCAGCTGGGCTGAGTGGCACCGTTACAGGGGAGATTGTGGAACTGGGGGGTGATGGTCTCTGTCCTGGGCTGCAGGTGTAAGGAGTTCCTGAGCAAGCACGTCCACCTGATGTGTTACCGGATCTGTGTGCGTGCCCTCACAGCCATCATCACCTACCACGACCGGTAAGGAGGCACTGTCTGCTGCAGGGTGTCCCTTCCCACCAGCTGCTCCGTGCCTGCCTCTTGCAGGCCTCACGCTTCGTTCCTCTGTCCTCATCTGTACCTTTGTTTTGCATTTAGAGAAAACAGACCCCGAAATGGAGGCATCTGTGTGGCCAATCACACGTCTCCCATTGACGTGATCATCCTGGCCAGTGACGGCTACTACGCGATGGTAAGGTCTGCACCCCAGCCCCAGCTCTGCCTGCCGGGGCCTGGCCGCGCGTGTGGTGGGAGCGGCAAGCACGTTGCATGGGGCAAGGAGTAGGCAGCAAGACGCTTTTGAGCGTGCAGAACTACTTTTCCCTGCATGACATCGCAGGGCACTCCCAGACAGTGCCCAGACACCCTCTTGTGCGTGGCTTTCCAGCAAGCTTGGCCTGGGACTCAGAGCACCAGTGGTCTCTGGGCACTGTTCTGCAAGCAGAGCTCTGGGCTTTGCTGCCCATGGCAGAGCAAAGCACTTCCCCAGCTGGACCTCCTGCAATGTGGAAGGCACTTGGGGCTTGCTACCTCTGTCCTTCCAGTCAGAGCCTGGGACTTTTCCTCTCGGCCTTTCCAGGGCAGGGGTAGAAAGATGAACCTCAACTTGGCTGTGAAGCTAGGAGCTGCCTCAGCCTTCCGTCTGTCCCCAGGTCTTGTAATTTGTGTCTTCTTGTCCTCTTCAGGTGGGTCAGATCCACGGAGGGCTCATGGGTGTGATACAGAGAGCCATGGTGAAAGCTTGCCCCCACGTCTGGTTTGAACGCTCTGAGGTCAAAGATCGTCACCTCGTCGCCAAAAGGTGTGACAGTTACTAGCTGCAGGGGGAGGTCTGGAGGCTGGGAAGGGGCGGGGGCTGCCCACTTCCCTTGGCTGAGGACGCTGCCTTGCCTCCTGGGTGCTGGGAGACTGTGCCACCGTTGCTGGCGCCCAGATAGTCCCCCGTGACTGCAGGATAGGGACTATGCTGCGTGGATTGCTAGTGATAGCTTCTGTGCCCTGTGTTAATTAGTGACGTTCTTCTGTTTAGGCTCACAGAGCATGTCCAGGACAAGAGCAAACTGCCTATTCTTATCTTTCCGGAAGGTGAGTTGTGGAGCAAGGCCAGACAAGCACCTGGTGGAGAGGGCACGTTGGGACAGCGCCGCATCTCTGTTCCTTCCCTTCATACACAGCCAAGGGCCTTGAAACCCTTCGCTGAGACAAAGGGGACGTTGCATCTTTAGAGCTGACTGAACACAGCATGTGGCAGTCAGATATACGATGTCCCGGTGACACGTCCTGTGCACACAGAGGACAGGGTTTGGAGCAAGTGCTAGGGGGCAGTTGCTGGGTGCCTGCGGCCTAGCCATTAGAATCTTAGAATCGTTTAGGTTGGAAAAGACCCTTGAGATCATCGAGTCCAACCGTTAACCCAGCCCTGCCAAGCCCACCACTAAACCACGTCCCTGAGCACCACATCTCCCTGGCTTTTAAACACCTCCAGGGATGGGGACTCAGCCCCTGCCCTGGGCAGCCTGGGCCAGGGCCTGACAGCCCTTTGGGGGAAGAAGTTTTTCCCAATACCCAACCCAAACCTGCCCTGGCGCAGCTTGAGGCCGTTCCCTCTCGTCCCATCGCTTGTTCCTGGGGAGAAGAGACCG